AGGTTAGGTTATAGGTTAGGCTAGGTTAGGTTATAGGTTAAGTTATAGGTTAGGTTGTATAAGAAAACATGTTAGTATGGGAAGACCAATAAAGAAAAGATTTGTGAGAAATTTGTGCGGTTGACAATTTACTTGCAAGCTCTGGGGCGACATTAGAAAAAAATAATCATTAAAAGCGTCTGAGATTTGTTCCAGAGTATTTGCTTGTTATGGAGTATTGAAAGAGTTGTACTATCCTTTTCAGTTTTATTATTGCGTAATTCATTTATTGTTTCCCAAATCTTCCTTGTATTTACTCTAAATCTGAAAATCCTCGTAGATAATGATTTCATTTGTTAATTTTATGAAGGTGTTCAGATAGTTTCCATTTTTTGTATTCCACAAAAGCGAGCATTCCTAATTCATATGCTTTATGCAAAGTAAATTTCTGCTGTATCGATTTTAAAGTACATTGAGTGACCCATGTTTTTTCTAGTCTTTTGATCGGTATGAATTTTGGTATTTTTGGGAAGCAGACAAGTGGTGTAGACTATATCAAGAAACATATTGCAATTAGTGTTCGAATCTAGGTGAGTCCCAGTTTAATTCTGAAATGGCGATGATGATGACGATTAATATTAATAATAGAAATGAAATACAAATGAAAATCGATCAGCATTTTTTGCTCCCTTTGTGGATTCGAACCCACGAGCCCGGATTCTTCCCCCCCCCCCCCCACCCACTCTCCTTCTCACATCAAAGACTATATACGAAAGATAGGAAAGCATGGCAAAAGCCTGTGAAGCCCCAGCGATTGTGGATAATGTAATATCTGAACAATAGATGGCGTTGTGTACACAGAAAGTATCGTCTTTTCTTAATTATGAAACCACTTACTGAAAATGGTAGGAAAGGGACTGTTTCTTTTTTTGGTTTGTTTGTTTTGCATGTTTTATGCTTCCTGTTCTAGCTGTAGGCCTGCTTTCCGCAATACTTACATTGATGATGACGAAATCAAATAAAGAACTGTTACATACATGTTTTTGTGTATCCTTGATTGACACAACAAATATGAATGAAAAAGATGAAGAATTTATTAATGCCGAATGATTGTGGAGTTTATTTGATAGATTTGTTTATTTAATAGATTGTAGAGTTTATTGAATTTAAGTTTATGTTCATTGTATTACCACCAAAGATATTTTCTGCAATAAATTGGATAGTATTTAAACAATGGAATAATTCTATTATGTAAATATGCATACACATAAGATAATTATTAATATTTTATTGTCTTTTTTCTGAAAAAGTGCAAAACCTTATTTTAATGTAAAAAAAAAATCTAAGAAAAAAGTTATTAATAGAATAATTATATAATTCCATGTAAATTTAATATATACATATATATTCTTTGATAGTTATATTTCGTCTCTTATTAAAAAAAAATAAAATAAAATTCAACTGAAACTAAACCTTAAAAAAAAAAAAAAAATCTATCAATTTATAGCCCCTCCTATAAACGTTCTCTTTCTTAGTTACATATCTGAACAATAGATGACGCTGTATGAATTTTGGACATCACATTTTTTTCATAGGTTGACACGTGTTTCCTATCTTTGGTTTCCGTGGTCTTTTTTGGTTCAAATGATAAGCTATAATTTGTTAATCGTTATAGTAATGTAAAAAAAAAAGTATTTATCCTTTAAACGATTTAAAAGTCAGTCTAACGTAAATAATATTTCAAAATTGGCAAAATTCTCTCTTTATTTGTTAAAAACAGATAAAATTTATAACTAGATGCTCGCCTGTTTGTTTACATTTGTGTCCATTCCCCCGTCAGCTGACTGGATGAGAATAGCGAGAATACGCCCTTATTTAGCATTACCAATTCATTGTTTCGCACTAAATCGTCGCCACATAGCCTGAATAACATTCGCCATCGCCAGAGCCTGTGCAGGGGTTGAAGCCATCTTCCTGTGTTTAGAATTTTGGTCGGACTGTTTCCGTGGTTCTCATCGCTAGTGTGACTGCGCGAGCCAAAATGAACGATTTCCTAATGCGGAAAAAGTGCGTGTGACGGCCTTAGACTACCGATGCCTACGCTAACCACAAGCTCATAATAGCGAATGTCAAAAGTAGGAAATATGCGATTTTTAAACCCCCCTGATTCGAAATTCCAGTGGAGATGTGATGGCCGAGTGGTTTTAGCATCGGACTTCGGGCGTGCTAGCCGCCCGGGTTCGAGTGTTCGAGCCCCGGCCGGTGACAGTGTTTCCTTGGGCAAGGAACTTTACTTTGATTGCCTAGTCGACTTGGGGGTGTATGAATGTGTGTGAGTGATTGTGTGTGTGTGATGTATATTAATAATGTATAATATGTATAATCTAATATGTATAATATAATTTCATTTCATTTCAGTTGGTGAGTGGCGTGCTAGGGCCTCCCGGGGGCTCAGGATTGGTGAGTGGTGAGTGGCGTGCTAGGGCTTCCCGGGGGCTCAGGATTGGTGAGTGTGAGTGGT